AAAAAATGTTCCAACGTTGTGAGGGATTTCCCAGCAGTGTGTTGGAAAGCACTGTACATGTCCATGTGTTTCTCCGCATTGCCGCTTTGGATGTCTACAAACCGCACCAAACCGCGATAAGTGGAGAGAAAGAACGCGGAGGAGAGGATCTCTCCATGGAGAATGACATGTGCGTGTAGTACACGACCAAAAGCAATCCGGTGTGGGAATGAATGATATGGTATGAGGCCTTTCCGCGTTTGCCCAAATCACATCTGTCAAGTTCTGTAAAAGTCGCACTCCGCTTAAAGCCGCGGTGCAACTATCTTAGGAACAGTGTCAAACCGGGTTTTGTCTTGTTCCGTACTGGTAGTCAATTGGCTAGCGAGAGTGTAAGTCGTGTTGCGATGAAAACATCTAAGGTGAATGTCGCGAACCTCGAAAGGAAAAGTGGGGGGGAAGGGGTTGGGGGGAAGGAAAGGGGGGAACACACACGAAACGGAAATGGGACCACATCAACACCCCCATACTCCCTTTCGCTGATTGTTCTGCCAATAACACCTCCACATTGCAAAACGAGAAACCTTATGTTCCAAAAAAGCTGCGCAAAATACCAATTTCACTTTCAAGTTTTATTTTGGTTTATTTATCCATCCATTTGCAAGAGTAATATTTCTAATGGGGAGAAAGAACATCAACCGTACAGATGTGCAAGACTTGGAATGTCATATTGAAATCCTTATTATGCTAAGGATAAAAGCAAACATGGCATCATCCAAGGAGAGCAGATTTTTACACTCCGATCCACTATTGGTGCAGCTGTCCATTTGCAGGGAGGAGGGGGGAGGGGAAAGGGGGGAGGGGGGGGGGGGAGGTGGGGAAGGGAAGGAAACGTTGCACATTATTGAAGAATGTTAGGTAGGGAAATTGAAGAGAGCATGGAAACTGAGATATGATAGACAGCCTTCAGTGGCCAAGCAAAGCTGGTACTGTCGGCTGGGCTGGACGAGAGAACGTAGTGGAAAGGGAAGGGACGGTAGTGGGGGAAAGCGAGGGACAGGGGAGGGGGGAAAGGGATGGCTGAGAGAAGCGTGAATGGTGGGAGAGGACAGTAGGAAAGGAAGGGATGTGAGAGAGGGGGAGGAAGGGTGGGAGGGAGAGAGGACAGGGGGAAAGGGAGAGAACGACAGGGGGAAAGGGAGAGGCGGACAGGGAGAAATGGAGAGGAGGACAGGGGGAAAGGGAGAGGAGGACAGGGGGAAAGGGAGAGGAGGACAGGGGGAAATAGAGAGGAGGACAGGGGGAAAGGGAGAGGACAGGGGGAAAGGGAGAGGAGTGTTGTAGAGGACTCTCCTCTACTTTGCAGGAACTGGGAGTTGTTCTAAACGATAGAGCTCTGTCTTAGCTTTCCAACGAGCCGTCAAACACGTCGATCGCCTAAGTATTCTCCGAGATATAGGCGTTCACGTGCTAGGTGGTGCTCTTGAATGCAAGTAAAGAAGCTCTCTGGAATTTGTGTTCGAATGTACCTTGTACAAAGAACTCTGAGTTTCACTATGATGGCATGCAATACAAAGAAAACAGATTTATAGCATGCAAACAAGATCGAATCGCACAAGTAACCTCGAACCGCTACACTCGCGAATGTTCGAGTAACATCGAAAGGGTGAAATTCGACTCTCGAATTTCACCGATCCGAATTCTCCTTGGGTCTCGAATGTTCCTGGTGCTGCCATGTGGCACCGAATCGAATGGGTCTTCCGAAGTCAATCCTCAACCCCACGCAAACCTGCAACTCACTCGAAGGTGAGCACAAGTCACACATTCGGTGGGTTGGGGGCATACAAACGCCCCACCACCACCTTGCTTCCAACACACGTAATCTCCAACACTCCCCCTTGCACCCAACCCACTAGGTGTGCAAACCAACATGCTCATAGCATGCACGGGATGAATCTTTAGGGGGTGGTTCCATGAGAGATTTCGCGTGTTCATCATCACCCTTGGTTGCGAAGCAAAATGCCGCGCCCTCCTTATCCGTCTCCCCAACGGCTACCGTAGCGTAGTCATTGTACTTGGAGGGAGGACGAACCTCACGACGCTCGCGGGTCAAGGCCAATGGTAGGGAGGAAGGTGTGGAGGTAGTTGCCGCCTCGGTTGGTGACACCTCCACGACATCATCAATGCTCTCCTCGTTGTTCGCTCCCCCTCCATCGGCTTCCTTCTCCACTTGAGGTGGAGTCTCACTCTCTTCAACCTCCTCTCGTGGCGGAAGGATGAAGGTGAGTTGTTGAGTGGGTTTCTCCTTCGACGGGAACTTGTCTTCATCGAAAACCACGTCCCGAGACGTGACGACGCACTTGTCGCCCAAGTCCCACACTCGCCACGCACGCTCGTTCGCCGCAATTCCCAAGTAGATCGCCGCATGAGCCTTCGGTTGCAACTTGTGGCGAAGGGGATCCGGTACATGGTAGTAGCAAAGGCACCCAAAGGTGCGAAGGCGGGATAGGTTCGGCTTCGTTCCGGTCCATGCTTCGAACGGAGTCATTCCCGGGAGCACCTTCGTCGGCAAACGGTTGCGAATCCACGCCGCTAGCGAACTCGCCTCGCCCCACCACTCTTTCCCAAGCTTGGAGTGTTGAAGAAGAGAACGAACGGCTTCCACCAACGTGCGATTAAGCCGCTCCGCCGCTCCATTTTGTTGGGGTGTGTAGGGTGTTGTGACGTCGTGCTTAATGCCCTTGCACTTCATCCATTTCTCGAGCTCCGCATTCACGAATTCGCCACCACCATCGGTGCGAATACACTTGATCCGCTTCTTGTCATCGTCGCAAACTTCGAGCGCCCACTCTTGAATCGCCTTGACCGCATCTCCCTTAGCCTTCAAAAGTCGGGTCCAACACATCCGCGTCGCGTCGTCGAGCATCACTAAGAGGAACCGCGCTCCTCCCTTTGATGCATGCCGCATCGGCCCACACACGTCCATGTGAACAAGTGCAAGCGGGTCCTTAGCGAGGGGTGACGTTCGGCTACCGAATGGCTTGCGAGCCATTTTTCCTTCGACACACGCCGCGCACACGCCCTTCTCGTCGTCGCCGGCGATCACGTTGACTCCCTTCGCAAGTCCTTTGTTGGCCAACTCCTTGACCGAGTCGTAGTTGGCGTGCGCAAGCCGATTATGCCACGCCTTGAGAGTCGCCTTGGAGCCTTGCGCCACGTTGGATGAAGCCGCTCTCGGGTACGTCTTGAGTTGGTAGATATCTCCGTTGAGAACACCTTGCGCGAATTGCTCCCCCTTCCAAAAGAGGTTCATTTTCGCACCGTCGATCGTGGCGATCACTCCCTTCTTCGCAAGTTGCGGGACGGATAGAAGGTTCACCTTCACCCCCGGGACGTGAAACACGTTCGTCACGTCCAGCGGACCGCTATCGACGATGAGGCGCGTACTCCCAACTCCGACCACCGGTAGCGATTCGTTGTTTCCGAACACGATGCTCGTGACGTCTCCCGGAGCGCCAATGTTGTTGAGGAGCGACGCCGAGTGCGTCATGTGTTGCGTTGCGCCGGTATCGAGGAACCACGCGTCGCTTGGAGTTTTGTTCCCGTTGCCGGCCACTAACACGAGCGACTCCTTTGAATCATCGGCCTCGCCGGATGCCGTGTGCGCGTTGCCCTCTTGGTCCCGCGCCATCGATGGAGTCCAATCGCTCGGCCGCTTTCGACACTCACGCCAAAAGTGTCCCGGTTTGCGGCAATAGTGACACTTGCCGCGATGCTCGCTCCCACCGGACGATTCCTTCGTTGCGTCCTTGCTCCACTTGGACTTCTTTCCGGAACTCCCTCCGGAGTACATGGCGGCACCCTCGCTCTCATTAGCGAATTGTCGGCGACGCGATTCTTCATGGAGAAGCCGACCAACCACCATTTCCTTCGTCCAAGTGTCTTGCACGCTATCGAGTGTCGTAATCACCGTCGACCACTCTTCCGGAAGGCCGCAAAGCAAGGTGAGAATCCAATCCTCCTCCGTGACCGTTCCACCGAGGTCCATGAACGTTTCCCTGAGTTCCTCCACACGAATCGCAAACTCGTGCATCGATTCGCCCGCGCGCATCTTCACCGTGTAGAACGCATTCCGGGCTAGGATCTTGCCGTGGAGAGTCTTGTTCACGTGGATGGTCTCGAGCCGCTTCCACGCTTCATGCGCCGACGCTTCGAGCTTGATGCACATGCGCACCGAGCTCACGAGATTGATGCCGATGCGCGAAATCAACGTAGCGAACGCCTTTTGGTCCTTCTTCTTCCATGCCGCGATGCCGCTCTCATCGTCCGGCTTCTTCTCCGTTCCATCGAAGAAACCCCAAAGTCCCCGCTCCATCATGAGCACTTGGAACTTAAACTTCCACGCGGAGTAGTTTTGTCCCGTGAAAATCGGTACCGCCGACGTGTCGAACATCGTCGCGGTTGCCCAGGGTTCGCCGGAATTTACAACGACACCATCCAAGGAAGTGCGGGAGGCCTCGCTTGAAGTCATCATGCGTGCTCCTTGTCGCGCGCGTAGACTCCTCCGACCAGCTCTGATACCACTGTTGTAGAGGACTCTCCTTTACTTTGCAGGAACTGGGAATTGTTTTAAACGATAGAGCTCTGTCTTAGCTTTCCAACGAGCCGTCAAACACGTCGATCGCCTAAGTATTCTCCGAGATATAGGCGTTCACGTGCTAGGTGGTGCTCTTGAATGCAAGTAAAGAAGCTCTCTGGAATTTGTGTTCGAATGTACCTTGTACAAAGAACTCTGAGTTTCACTATGATGGCATGCAATACAAAGAAAACAGATTTATAGCATGCAAACAAGATCGAATCGCACAAGTAACCTCGAACCGCTACACTCGCGAATGTTCGAGTAACATCGAAAGGGTGAAATTCGACTCTCGAATTTCACCGATCCGAATTCTCCTTGGGTCTCGAATGTTCCTGGTGCTGCCATGTGGCACCGAATCGAATGGGTCTTCCGAAGTCAATCCTCAACCCCACGCAAACCTGCAACTCACTCGAAGGTGAGCACAAGTCACACTTCGGTGGGTTGGGGGCATACAAACGCCCCACCACCACCTTGCTTCCAACACACGTAATCTCCAACAAGGAGGACAGGGGGAAAGGGAGAGGAGGACAGGGAGAAAGGGAGAGGAGGACAGGGGGAAAGGGAGAGGAGGACAGGGGGAAAGGGAGAGAAGGACAGGGGGAAATAGAGAGGAGGACAGGGGGAAAGGGAGAGGAGGACAGGGGGAAAGGGAGAGGAGGACAGGGGGAAAGGGAGAGGAGGACAGGGGGAAAGGGAGAGGAGGACAAGGGGAAAGGGAGAGGAGGACAGGGGGAAAGGGAGAGAAGGACAGGGGGAAATAGAGAGGAGGACAGGGGGAAAGGGAGAGGAGGACAGGGGGAAAGGGAGAGGAGGACAGGGGGGAAGGGAGAGGCGGACAGGGGGAAAGGGAGAGGAAAACAGGGAGGGCACTGGCCAAGCGAAGTTGATGCTGAGGATCGGGCAAGGGATCGGAAAGGGGGAGGCATTGGAAAGGGGGAAATTGGATGGGACGGGAGGTGACAGGGTGGGACGCGAGATGCTTCGCCACCGTCGCACAGATGCTTCGCTCCGCTGCTCGCTATCGTCGCCCTGGTGCTCGCTATCGTCGCCTTGGTGCTCGCTATCGTCGCCCTGGTGCTCGCTATCGTTGCCCTGCTGCTCGCTATTGTCGCCCTGGTGCTCGCTATCGTCGCCCTGGTGCTCGCTATCGTCGCCCTGGTGCTCGCTATCGTCACCCCGCTGCTCGCTATCGTCGCTCCGCTGCTCGCTATCGTCGCCCCACCGCTCGCTATCGTCGCCCCGCTGCTCATATGCGACCACCGATATCTAGCTATCGTCGCCCCGCTGCTCGCCACCGTCGCACCCATTCCTGCCTGTCGCTGCCGTTGCGCCTTTGCTACCGCAGATACGTGAGGAATGGAGGGGCGGGAGAGGAATAAGGACGGCAACGGAGGAAAACGAGCGCAATGCGCTTCGAATACGACAAAAAAGGTGTTTACGAGGTAGGAAATTGCGCAGATATTCGTGAGCACATCAATAGACCATGAAACGCGAGAAATCTTAGCGGAAATGGCTCTGCGTAGCTCGGGAAACTTACTTCAAGTTAGTAAGAACCTAGTTCAAGCGTGAGAGTTTGCCGAGTTTGAGTTGTTTTGAGTTCAAGTTTGAATTTTCAAGTTTGCTGCCTGCGTTCCCCCTCATCTCGTTGAGCGGAGCTTTTCCCCGAGCCCTCCCCCGTTTCCCCCCCCACACATCATACTGCGAAGGACTTTTCCGCACGCCCTTCCCCCGCTGGCAGAAACCTCTCCCTGCTCGCTTTCCTGTGTATACTGGGTTACGCGGCTTTCAAACTATAATAGTTTGAACTGGAGCCGGGAAATCTGCACCACGGCTTTAAAGGCGGGGTGCAACTTCTTAGGAACAGTAGCAGGACAAACATGGAGTGTGCGTAACGAGACCCTTATTGGATGAAAAAAAAGGAATCTCGGAAAAGACAAACTTCTCGCCACAGAACTGCCTGCGACAACCAAGTTCCAAGCTATAATACTTCGAAGTTGAAGCTGATAGTTGGGCCACGGCTTTAAAGGCGGGGTGCAACTTCTTAGGAACAGTTGCAGGACAAATATGGAGTGTGTGTAACGGGACCCTTATTGGACGAAAAATTTGGAATCTCGCACAAGACAAACCTCTCGCCACTGAACTGCCTGGGACTACCAAGTTTCAAGCTATAATACCCTGAAGTTGAAGCTGATAGTTGGGCCACGGTTTTAATCGTCGCGCTGAGCTGTACTGTACGATTTAAACAAGTGCGTGAAAACTCTCATTGTCTGGTCCTTCGAGTGTGTGTACAGTACTTCAAGCCTTTCGGAAAAAAAGGCGCGCCTCCGGTCGGAGAGGGGAGCTTTTCTGTAATGTACGCGTACAGAAAAAGAACAACGGACTTTTTCACCACCGTTTCCTGCCTGTGTTTTGGTCGGCGTTTGCGCACGGTAGCAAGTCGCGAACATTACGGGTGTGGTGTGGTGCATTGTGCAATGTGGCTGGACCGATCTTCGGGCTAACACGGTTGATTTTTGGACGGAGGCGTGACAGTGCATGAAAGTTTCTCACGAATGTGCGATGCGTACGGTCTTCTTGACCCTCATGTTCGTAACTCCCATCCCATGATCCCACCCATCCCATTTACTGCACTGCACACACTGAGCTCTTTCAAGCCCAGACAGTTCTTTCGTCTGCTCGTTCTGTCGGTCCATATATTCTGCTGTTTGGAGCCAACAACAGTATTTCACATCCTTGTCCCAGTCTCATGTTAGCTCCCCGCCATGACCACCTTCATCGAGGAAGTCTACATTCACGCAGATACGTTATTAGTAATCGTACAGATCATAGCTGCAATTAGGTACAAGAAATGATCGTCGCAGACGCACCTCAGGGAAGCCTGCTGCCGCTCGTGCGAGGAGGCCATGTCGTTTCCATATGGCACGACATCCTTCTTTTCACGGAAATCGCAGTACGAGCTGCTTCCGCACGCGTCTCGCCAGACACGGAGTCAACAAAACCAGATGTTAACAGCTGTAGTAGCAATACTGCTTCCTACTCGAACCCTCGTGATGGTCACAACAGCGAAACTTTACTGCCTCCAACTGTTACTTTCATTTGCACGTCTTCCAAGTCGTCCCACGCGCTGCTGCACGGTGCTGCCTTCTCCACATCCCTGACTGGCCGCAAGAAACTGCTCGAGCTGGACGGCACACTGCGTGTCGACGACAGCGAGCCGCGACCCTGGAATCTCGGCATTCTGCCGCAGACGTGCGTTCTGACTCCGGTGTCGCGACCGACCTCCCGTCCTTCCCTCGCCTCCCCCCCCATCACCCCGGCTGGAGTCGCACCAGCCAGCCAGTTCTCGTCAAAGCTGTCTGCTCCGCCTCCTTCAAGTAGTGCTTCTCTGTTACCGTCACCTGCTCGTCGGCCTGGCACAGCGCCTCCTCGAACCGTCGCTGGGAGGAGTACTACGGGTCCTGAGGCGCCTTTGAATACCTCATTATGCGTCGGTGACCAGCGTGACAGTGATCTGATCACTGCAACGAATCGTCCAGCTACCGCGCTGCCATCACGGAAGTCCGACTTCTCAACCGACAAGCCAAGCAAATCGTGCTCTGACGTTGGAACCGGCGCCGACAATTGTGGCAATAACCGCGGCAACAGCGGGCCTTCGCTAGAGGAGCTGTTCCGGCCGTGGGGAGACTCCGAGTCGCCGCTGGTGATTTTCGATAACGCGCCGATAGAAGCCATCGACGTGGGCACGCAAGAGCAGGAGCCCGGCGACGCGTATCCCGTGGTGCCGCTCCTCGCGCTTCCTGTCCGCTTGACTGCGGCCGCCAGTGCGGTATCCGAGGTATCATGGAAGCTGATCGTAGTCGCAGCGCACGACCCGCTTGTAATGGCGAATCAGATTGGTTCTGTGGCGGCGAAAGTTCTGCCCAAAGTCCGGGAGTGGGTGGACGCGGCGAGCTTTGCGAGCCCTTCGCCAACCTTCGCAGGTAACATTACATCTGTCGCGACCTCTTGGCGTGTCCGTTATTTCGCATCACGTGTCCTCGTAAGGATAACAATGCACCTCTCAGTATTTTCCGCTTCCCCATTTCGTCCTCTCCTGTTACCTTCTTTCGCACCAACTCAGCAGCGGCCGTCAAGGCTACGCTGCTTGCGGAAAACAGTTCTCCCCACGGATTCCCCGCGGGGACCGCGCCGGAGGCGTGGCTCGAAGATTCTTGGAAGGCGCACGACGTGGTGGTGGAGTCATACCGCACGTGGAAGCTCCTTTGCGCGCCGATCCTCCGCCGCCCCGTGCTGCAGCGCCGTACGCAACTTGCGGCGCGCACCGTCAGCGCGTGGGAGAAGCACAGCGGGAAGACCGAAGATAACGCAGCGTGGGGACTCGTCGCAAGCGCCGCTGCTGGCGGCGGCGGCGGTCGCGGCGGAAGTCGCAGTAATAGCAGAAACTCGCTGCTCGATAATATGCCGACCCCCAGAAGCCGCCCCATAATCCAAAAGCTTTCTTCCGTCGCAGAGTCTGATTCCGCAGATGTAATCGACGGTGGCAGTAACTGGGATGATACGGAAACTGGAAGCGTCAAAAGGTCTGCGCAGGAGACGGTTTCGCGCAGCGCATGAAGCAGCGGAAATGCGCCGCGTGACCCGGAGCCGATGTCGGTGGACGAAGATTACACGCATCTTAGGCGCACGCGGACGCAGTGGAATCTCCTCGCGGGCCGGCTGGGCATGGAGAGCAGCGCAACGAGAAGCCAGCGCAGCATAAGCCAGCCGGCCGGCTTGGGCGGGAGCGCGAGGGGCAGCATCAGCTGGGCTGGCGGGAGCGGAAGGAGCATGAGCAGGCAGGCGCGCGTGTTCAGCGCGAGGCTGGGGCGTCTCGACCTCCCCCTTCCCTCCCCGAGCGCTATCGTGAGCTCCGCCATGTCGCGGTACTTCTCCCCGTCCTCCACTGTCAGCTCAGCGGCATCGCTCGAGGACGTTAACGTGATTTCGCCACGCTCTCCAGGGGCTGGAAGCAATAGTGCCGCTGGCGGTAGTGGTAGACGCGTCGCGCCATCCCGCCCGCAACGTCTCCCAAAGAGCCCAGCGCCAGTGGCGCGCTCGCGAACATTGCCTGCTACTCCTACTGCCGCTACTCCTATGGCAGCTACCAGCAAACCCGTGTCTCCGAGGGATGACTGTTCAGAACGCGACTCGTCGTTCGCGCTAGGCAGCGACAGATGGGCGGAGGAGACGGCGCAGGGGGGCGATTCCGGCGGAGGAGACGGGGAGGAGAAAGGCGCGAGCGGGCAGGTGGAGAAGGTCTCCGTCTCGGAGGCACAGGCGAGGACTTCATGGAAACGGGTGGGAAAGGAGTCTTTGGGGGAGAGGAGCGGCGACACGGTTTCTGCAGGTCCGTCGTCCAGGAGCTCTCACGTTCCGCGAGAAAGCGCTAACCAAGTTGGCAGCTGCGCGGGTATGATCTCGCAGGGCAGCACTAGCAGTAGTAGTAGCAACAGCAGCAGCAGTAGCCAGAGTTTGCAGAGAATTGAGTTACGCAGCGGCACGGGCAGCGGAAGCGCAAGCGCCAGCGCCAGCGGCAGCGCGATCAGCAGCAGCATTGACTGTGACTATCCGTCCGAAAGCGAGGATTTGACGAGGCGCCATTCGTTTAGCGGGAACAGCCGAGAGCGAAATTTTAATCACATCTACAGAAAGAGCATTTCCCATACTAATACAGCTATACACTTGCAGACTGCAGCTAATGGGCTTAGTAAATCAATATCCAGGAGTAATGAAGGCGAGAACGATGGCGTAGCTACTCGGCAGCTGAAAGCTTTTAATCGGCCTATACCAGAGAGTGACTTCCTGAGCAAGCGGCATTCGACCACGTGCGGGGTTCTTTTCAGTGACAGCATCACCTCCCTTAATGACCAGGATAGCATTCAACGGGGTTCTAATGACTACGGTCCTAACCCTAGGAGCTATCAGGGAGAAGCAAATGGCACCATAGCTGCCATGATGGAAGAAGCAGCGGCGTTAGAAGCAGCGCATGCAGGGACATCGATGCGAAACTCCGAGCGACTGCGACATATGTTCAGGGACAAGGCACTGGCAATTCCAGGGAAGAGCAAGGCTGGGTCCCACGAAACTGCACTCGGTAGAATTGGGAGCGCGGGAACAGCATGCGCCGGCAATGTCGGGGAGGCCGGTTCTGGCTTGGCCATCAGTGGCGGCGCTGCTGGCGGTGGGAGCTTCAGGAATGCTTATGATCACAGTGGTTCTGTACAGAGTGTGGGTTTGGAGTGTGGGGAGAGAGGAGTGAAAGCAGAAAGAGTCAAAGATTGTGCGGAGGGGGGTGGGTTGCCGGTTCCACCTACTCCGGACAGCGGCAACTCCCGCATCAGCCACATTGGCAAGTGGAGAACGGTCCAGACTATCTCCACTCTCGCGCTGCTCTCCCCCCGGTTCTCCACAAACCCACAGCCGCGACTTGCGAGGCTGCGAGCAGCTGGGCTAGCAGCCGCAGGGAACACGGGTCCAGGGGGGATAGGTGGGGGAGCAGAAGAGGGAGGAGGGGCAGGAGGGGGAGGCGGAGGAGCAGCAGCAGGGCAGGGGTTGCGAGCATTGCGGCGGTGTCAGACGGAGTCTCCGGAACAAGGCAGTAGCAGTGGCAGCAGCAGGTCCAGGCTAGCCAGGTTGAGAAGCATGGAGAGGCCAACGGGGCAGGGGATAGGCGGAGATTTGGGGGCGGATGGCTTGCGAGGTCACGGAGTGGAGGTGGGGGGAACAGGGAGGGAGGGTGTGAGGGGGGGAGGGGGCATGGCATGGGAGTTGGAGAGGCGGGGAGCTGTGCGGATTCTCCGTTCATCCGGCGGTGCGAGTCACAGCGGATTGCCATCAGCGTGTCGTACCAGGAGCCCTTGTAGAGAGGGTAGAGTTGGCAGATGGGAAGGACGGCACAGGGGCCCCTTGCAGCATCATGCAGCGGCCGCGGCGGTGGCGGCAGCAGCGACAGTGGCGATAGCCACTATAGGTTATGACGAAGCAGACAGGGGTTTCTTTTCTTACCAACGAAGCTATAACATGCTCTGACATATGCTGGACTACAATGTGATCCTGTTACATGCTATTGTACAGACTTAATCTAGCAGCGCTACCTGGGTCAGGGTAAGAACTGCTATGGTACATGACTGACAGGTCTTGACTTATATGACCCCTCCTACCTAATAACTGCTCACTTGTTTTCTGCAATTGAAGTTCTGTAATATGGTACTACTATAATGGAACTTGACTGCTCCATGCAGTACATTGGGAAGGGAGGAGCATGAAAAACATGAAATCCTGCTAGCTGGAAACACTTTTGAGTGCTGGACTCATGCTGCCACCTCCACCGCTGTGCCATCTGCCGCCAATGCCACCGCCACCACCGCCGCTGCTGCTGCACCCGAGGTATTCGACACCACAGGCTGTTATTTCCGCTGACCCCAGCCTCTTCTCTTGCTTTCCTGCAGGATCAGGGTCCAATGCACCTCATCTCATAATGACTCTTTTCTCGACTCCCGGCTCACCCCTCGCCGTTTTTTTCTGGGGCGCGCTGTAGAGTGTGTGGTTGTATGTGTGGAAACATGTCTGTACACTGCATGTTCCGCTGGTGCGAGCTTCCTCACTGCAAGTTCCTCATGTGGGTGCCACCACACCACATCCATGGCTCCCCCTTGCAGGTGTGCCCGTACCACCACCGCCTGCTGCTGCTTCGCCTGCTGCCTCCCCTCAGCAGGTGACAGCAATGCCGCTGCTGCGACTGCTGCTACTGCTGCCGCCGCAGTGAGCTTGACAGACACCTTGCCCTATAAACTAGGTGTGTATATCAAGTCACTGAGCCTCCCCTCGTCCGCTTCCTCGCCTTGTCACTTGCGGTACACGCCAGCTCTGCCAAGAGGAGGGCGGGAGAAGTCATGATGGTGAGGCAAGCAGGGGAGGAGTGAGGGGCGGGTTCAAGTGGACGGGCATTGGGGGCTCGCGGGGGGGTAGAGGGAATGGATACGGACGCACATGGACGGTGATAGTCGAGGAAAGCATGGGAAGATAAGCTGCAAATACGCTCTCACATACCAGGGGGGGACTGATGCCCCCTCCCCCCTCGCCCTCGCCCTCGCCCTCCCCCTCCCCCTTCCCCCGTCCCTCCCCCCTCACCGGCAAAGTGCGCCCATCTGCTGCGCCATGGCTGCAGCTCGTGCAGGCACAGGCCCGCTCTTCACCTTCCCCGCCAGCTGCAGCGGCGCGCGCACGTTCCTCACTTGGCCAAACACGTTGCTCACTTGCGGCACGAGCGGGCGCGAGCGCGAGGAGGAGGAGCGCAGGTCTATGTCCTGGAGAGAAATGCTGCGGCAGGGCACTGAGGAGGAGCAGTTGAGGATGATCCCTATGGGGTCCGACGAGTTGGTCGTGCCCACGATCTTGCTGTAGGACACGCCTGAGACGGCCACCGCCTTGGAGGAACCTTCCCCGCACTTGCCGTCCACGTGGCGCTTGTCGCAGTAGCTCTGGTGGAGGGGGAGGGAGGGAGGAGCGAGGGAGATATGCATGAGAAACCAGGTGCACAGATGTACAACAAGCACAAAGATGCATATGCAGCCGTGGCTCACTCTCAACTGGTTGATCACAACAGGTCACTTCTTCATATCCACCATCAACACACACTTGCACCTCTGCATATACACCTAACCATGCACTGCCAACCATGCCACATTCATTCCCATAGCAACCATCTCTCTCCTGGTCGATGACAATCGGCCGCTCCACATCCACCATGAACACGTTGCGATACACCACATCGCGCACGCTGCCCGTGCATCCCCACCCACACATGGCTGACCACCCACACACGCCCAACCCCCTCTTCCCTCACCTGATCAATGACAATGGGTCGCTCCACGTCCACCATGAACACGTTGCGATACACCACATCGCGCACGCTGCCCGACCCGCCCTGGTACGTCTTGATGCGCAGCCCGTTGGATAGCGCCTTGAGCACCACGCGCGTGACCGTGATGTTGGACACACACGCTGTGTCCCCGTGGTCGCCCAGGCTGCCGATGCTGCCAGGCGGAGGGAGAGTCAGGGGGGAGGGAGGAGGGGGGGGAGGAGGGGAGCGAAAAGAGCAGGGAGAGGGGGAGGAAAGGGATAAGGACACGGTTGAGTCAGTTTTGAGAATTCTCAAAAGATGCAACGGGGATGCATGTTCTGTGGCATGTCAAGCCACACACACGCAGCACACCACCAAATGTTGCTTCTGAAATTTCTCAACAGCAATTCACGCATGGTCTGCCCTGGCAGTGAGCGCACCTGATGCCATGGCCGGCCACACACCACGTGTCGGAGATGAGCACGTGCGACGTGCCGTCCTCGATCACTATGTTGTCGTCGCCTGCCATCAAACCATGCAGCAATGCCATGGTTTGCACACACAACGCCATAAGGGTAGGGTCATGGGTAAGGTGGTGGTCAGAGTGCAGCGCCGCACAGGCACTAGTATGGATTGCAGGAGGTGCATGGAGGCATGGGGAGAGTGAGCAGTGTGAGGCACTCTCAAGCATTACTTCTGCAAAGCACCGGAAAGCCCAGCCGTTCACCATGCCTCCCTGTTTCTCACACACGCACACTCGCACACCCACCCACCCATCCACCACACCCGCCCACCCACGCACCTCCATGCAGCGTGCAGCGCTGCACGGCCACTTGAGTGGAGCGTGTGATGTGGATGGAGTCGGTGTTGGGGCTCTCCGAGGGGCTGTCCGTCGTCACGTTCACCACCTTCACGAAGTTGCTCGATGCTATCTCCAGGTGTATCGTGCCGGGGTTGCTGAGAGGGGGGAGACGGAGGGAAATGTGGGGGGTAGACGGAGGGGAATGTGGGGGGGAGACGGAGGGAAGAGGAGGCTTTTCAAAACCAGCTCCAATATTCCAAACCCGTTCACCAATCTGAGAGTGGTCCCAAGGCACCCATACCCCAATGCACCCCTCTGCACCCCCACGCACCGCAGAGTGATCCCCTGCACGACCGAGTTGTGGCACGAGTCGGCGACGAGCAGGTAGGGGCGCTTGAGCGACTCGGGCAGGCGGTGTGCGTTCCACAGCTGCCACCAGCGCTGCGCGCGGCCGTCTATGGCGCCGCGACCTGATACCATGAGCCCGTGCACGCCCAGGAAGTGCACCACGCCCAGCTGGGCTGGCGGATGGAAAGGGTCTCGCGGACCCAGAATGGTGCCGTCCAACTGATGGCGGGGAATGGGGGTGGGGGGAATGGGGGTGGGGGAAGAGGAAGGAGAAAAGGTGGAAGGGGACAGGGAGGAGGGGGTGAATGTGGGGAAGGGGGGAAGCTGGGACGGTTGAGGTGAAGCAGGCATAAGAGGGGCAGCGTCTTGGAAGAAGTGAATGGAAGATAAGAAAGCAGTCAGAGGAAACGTGCTTTCTAAGAACCTTCTGTAACAAGCCTCTCTCCCACCTTTCACCCCTCTCACCTTCACCCGTCTCTCACCTGGAACACCAGTCGCGACCCGCACGGCCCCACAAATCGCAGGTACCCCACGCTGTACCGCCCGCTAGGCACCACCACCGATGTGGGCCGTGCGCTTAGCCGCCCAAGCTTGCACGACGCCACAAACGCCGCTTTGAACGCGCGCGTGTCGTCCCTCTCACCGTCCCCCACCGCGCCGTACCGCTTCACCGAGAACTGGCGTTCCGGGGGGATGTGGGGGACGGGCACGAGGTAGTCTTGCCCGCGCGCGAAGCGGAAGGGCAGGTCGGTATTCCCAGGGGAGAACGGCTGCATGCTGTTGCCGTTACGAGGGATGGGAGAGGACGGAGAGGAAGGTGATGATGGGGAAGAAGGGGACGGTTTGGGCCGTTTCGCTTGCATCTTGTTGCCACCGCTGCTGCCGCTGTTGCGGGAGGGAGAGGGCGAGGAGGAGGAGGGGGACGGGGAAGGTCGTGGCTTGGGCTGGGACGTGCGGCCGCTGTCCCCCCGCTGTGGGGCGCTGGGGTTGGCCTTCCGAGCCTTCATCTGAGACTTGTACATGCTCGCCGCATTCCCGCCCTCGTCTGTGCTGCTGCTGCTGTCGCTGCCACCGCTGCCGCTCCTGCTGCTGCTGCTGCTGCTGCTGCTTCTGTCGCTCCGAAGCCTCTCGGTTGCTGGTCCGGTTCTGGGCTTGAACCCGCTGGTGCTGCCGCCACCGCCGCCGCCGCCGCTGCTGCTGCTGCTGCTGCTGCTGCTGCTGCTGCTGCCGCCACTACCACTGCTGCTACCGCCGCTGGTACCGCTGGTGCCTTTCTCAGCAGGGCTGGTGGCAGGCGGAGACGGGGAGGGGGAGGAGGGGCGAGGGGTGGGCAGGCGAGGCTTGAAGCCGAGAGTGGTGGTGGAGCGAGAGGAGAGCCATGGCATGGAGGAGGGCGAGGAGGAGGGCAGAGATGGCGGTGCTGCCGACTGTGGTGGTCGGGACGAGCGGGTGAAGAACGACTTGGGTTGTGTTGCATCAGCACCGGCATTGGGATCAGCATCGGCATCAGCATTGGCATCAGCATCGGCATCAGTACCATCCTCAGTATCAGCATCGGTATCATCATTAGCACCAGCATCAGCGTCAGCATCGGCATCGGTGGGAGCTGATTCCTCTGAAGGCGTGTTAGCACCAGGAGCACTGTCAGGGTCAGAGGGGCTGTACGCGTTAGAGTCATCCTGGGTATTGTAAGGCTGCTGCGAGTCTGAGTTAACCTGCGAGTCACCACCAGAGTCACCACCAGAGTCAGCATTAGAGTCGGCGCCAGAGTCAACGCCAGAGTCAACGCCAGAGTCAACGCCAGCATGAGCAGTAGAGTCAGAGTAAGAGTCAGTATTTGAGTGCGAGTGAGATTTGAAGGCAGCTACAGGAGGTGAGGAGGCAGGGTCCTGCGTGTGCGGGCTAAACGGTTCTGACTGGTCAGGCGCGGGGCTGGCAGGAGCAGCCACGGACGACGCCTGCACGCCGAACTCCCGCCGAGCGGCGGCAGCAGCGGAAGAGGAGGAGGGGGGTGAGGAGATTGAGGGGGCATCTAAGGAGAGCGCGTTCGGGTTGGTGCGGGCGCGGAAGGCAGTGCCCTTGCCGAGAGCCAAGAAGGACACCATCCCCAGGCCGTTCTCGCCCCTCCACCCGAACTCGTCCTCCTCTCCCGCACCGCCATTGTCACCATCGTCATCATTGTCATCGTCGTCGCGGTTACTGTCACCAGCAGAGGCGGTAGACGACAGAGTAGAGGCAGAGGGGGCAGGAGATGCAGGAGAGAGAGAAGAGATAGGAGAGATAGGAGAGTAGGAAGCAGCAACCGCTATGGACCGTCCTGCGCGTCTTCCCCCCACACTGGGACCAACAATACCGCCGCCATCACCGTCGCCGCCGCCGGCGCTGCTGCCATAGTCGTCGTTCTTAACTTCCCCGATACCAGGAATATGATCCGATACCGACACCCACTTCACGCCATCCCCATCGCCATCCCCATCCGCGTCCCCAACTCCCCCGGGATTGGCGCCGTGACCGCCGGCAGCGTTCTCAACGCTCTGGACCGTCACACCGGGATTGCCGCCGGTGTCGTGTTTGCTAATCAATCCAGCTTCGTCGAGCCAACCGTACGAGTCCTCGCTAGGGTAACCGTCCAGTCGCTCCGTTTCCCCCGCATCCCCCGCTTCTGCGGGAGTCTCCTCTTCCGCGGGAGTGTCCTCTTCCGCTTCCGCTTCCGATTCCGATTCCGCGTCTGCTTCCGCTGGGTTCGCGGAGGCCGCGGAGGCCTGCGTCGGGGCGGATTGCGCTTGCGCCGTACAAGACGGGGTTTTGAAGAGGCACGCAGGGAACGGGTCGCACTCGTACGCCGTGACTCCCGCCGCGACCACCCTTGTAACGGTAACGCGTAGCACCATAGCGGGGCGGCGCAACGGGGATGCCGACGAGGAGGGGCCGCGGGGAGCGGGGGAACTCGAGGCGGAACGGGAAGGGGACGTGGTGGCGGGTCGGGGGGGAGTGCGTGGCACGTCCTGCGGGGCATTGCGCTTGGGGGAGGTTGCGTTTGGCGCGGTTTGCGGCGGGTTTGACGGCGCTCGTTGCGGGTTCGAAGAGTCGCTGAACCCCAAATCAGGTTCCACCGAGGCATTTCTTCCTCCCCCGGACGGTGCGCGTACGGGAACGGACGGCGGCGCGGGGGAAGGCGTGCGCGGCGGGTCCATCCGCGGAGCGGGAGTTGCGGCGGGAGGTGCGGGGGACGCGGGAGCGGAGGGAAGAGTGAAATTGGGCTCACTGCCAAGAGGATCGTCCGGGTTTTTCGGCGGGAGGCGTTTGGGGAGGTAGGATGCGGGGTCGGTGGATTTGGGTGGGGAGGGTGAGGGTGAAGGGACGGGTGTTTGCTTCTGGTGCTGCGTCTGCCGCTTCTGCTTGCGGCTCGGCGCGGGGGAGTTAACATCACTCGGAGCAGTCAACGAACCAACGGACGAACCGGCAGATGCGCCTACCGGACCACCCTTGCTCCCCAGCAACGGCTTGGCGCGGAAGTTAGGCCTGGGATGCACCGTGCCTAAGCTGCTGCCGCTTCCGCGAGGGTTGGGCGCGAAGGTGGACGAGGTTCGCACACCGGCTGCGTCGCTCATATCCCCGAACTGCTCCCCCTGCTCCCCCTTCTCCCCCTGCTCCGCCTGCTCCCCGTCCCGAAAATCATCGGTATTCTCAAGGGAGCCAGCTGTATTCCACTGGTCGAATCCAGAATCGCCGTCGCCGTCGCCGTTGCCGTCACCGTCGCGAGCAGCTTGCGGAACTTCCGCCGCCACCAGCCCCGTGTCGTCCCCCCCCCCGTGGTACCCATCCACCACGCGGTCCTCTTCGCCGTAGTCCGCTGCGCCAGCCTCCCCCCCAGCGCTTGCGACCTGCGCGCCCCCCACCGCGCGCCGTGTCCTTGCCCCAACCCTTCCTGTCTGCGCGTGCCCCGCAGTATCTCCCACCTGGGGGGAAGCCCCGCCTCCGCTGATCGCGGCAACATAGGTGGAGAGCAGAATAGGCTGCTCCGCTTCTTTCGTCCTGTCCACGTCAGCCATAGGGTTACCAATCCCGCCGCCATAATAATCATAATCATAATCATTCTCCCAAACTCTAGCTTCCATCAGCCCCCGGTCCCCTCGAGCTTTACTCCCCAAGTATACGGCCCCTCCCCCACGCTTCTCCCCACGGTTCCCATTATTTCCTTCCGCGCTTTCCTTCCGCGGAGACTCGCTCCCGCCCGCCACCTTTGCGCGACCCTGCGCCATCCACGCCGGAATCAACTCCGTCACTTCTAGCACCGTTTCTACGGCTCCTGATGTTGCTGTTCGCACGTTAGCCGTGCTGCTCACTAGCACGGGTTTAATTCCCGCGTCCACGCTGTTAAGACTGGTCGCCAGAGCCGAGCCGCTCGGGGGCTTGGCGGGAACGGGTCGCACGGTAGAGTTGGTCGTGCGCGTGACGACAACGTTTGCAGCCCACTGCGGCGGGGGATCGCAGCGCTTGTACGAGGTGCAGGGGTCTGCGGTGGTCGCGCGGGGTGGGAAGGCGCGGGGGAGTGGAGGGAGGCAGCGAGGGAGGGAGGCAGGAGAAAGGGAGGCGGAGCGAGGTGAGGGACGAACAGCGATAAAAAAAATAGAGCGAACATTTACACAGGCATAGCGGGCCCCACAGGCTCACACGTGCGTGATATGACTGGCACGTGGGGGATGCATGGAGGTGCTTACTGGACAGGTGGACCCGGCAGTGCGAGTCGAGAAGATACGCGCAGTTGTTGTTCATGGCTAGCGCGCCGTCCGCTGGCGCCCACGCGTCCCATGGCTCGAGCGAACGACTGAGAGGAGGGGAAAAGAAAGACGATGCGCGGTGGCAACGCGCATGTACAGGTCTTAGGTGAGGGGTAGGTGGCGTACTGTCCGGCGTGTTGTGCGATTTGTGAGGCGTATGGATGAGCGCGGGAAAGGATTCGCACCGGCAAGCGCAGAATTTGGAACGAATTGAGATTGTCAGGATATGGGACGGAGTGAACAGAGACGAGCCTTTTCGGAAAAGACAGCAACCTAGCGGCGGAGAAGAGAAGGGATACTGTTTGAAGGGAAGAGATGGAAGGAAGAGGGTAGAGTATGTGCGTACCCTGTGCTCCAAAATGGATCCAGCTCGTATCTTCCGATATCAAAGTCGTATATACAGGCCGGCACGGACGGTGCGAAATAACGCGTCGCGGTTGCTGCATGTGACAATTCAAGGAGACAAGAAATCAAGCTGAATTCAGGCTGGCCTGTAGTGAGAGGGGCTTGTGAGGCTCGAGCGTTCATACAGGCTTTCATACAGGGCTTTCAGGCGTAGCTGACATAGAAGCAGGAAGAGACGAGGACGTCCTTAACCATCATGACGTCTCTTACGTAACTACCTTGTGGGTTCAAGAGGAGGATGAGGGGAAGAAGGAGCAGAAGATGCAGTGTGGCGAAGCCATTCCGTGCGAGCGTGCGTTGCGACACACCCATGGCTTGCTGCTTGCGAATGCTCCACGGGGGCTTCAGTAGGGAAAAGCTAGGTCGGCATCAGAGAGGAATGCTCCGAACGAAATCACAAGCGCTGAGATCAAGTAGAGCTAACTCCCAATTGCACGCATCGTCCAGGTCGATCTCAACGCTGGCTGTCGAACCAGTGAAATGTTGCTAAAGCTTCAACCAGTGCGCTATGGCGCCATAAAATGTGACGGGGTGATGGAAAGGTGGGTTGTAAGTGTGGATCAAGCTGGGCTGGTGTGCAGGCGGGATGCAATGGGGTCCCCGATGCAATGCAGCAGATCGCTGAATGCTGAGATGTGTGCTGTTCGGGGCGAAATGTGCAATTGCAAAGCCGAGCCGCTATCCTCTCAATCAGCACGAACAGCCTTCCACACATGTCGGTGCTATTGATGGGACAATTGTGCCGATAGGGTTACTACATTCTCCACAGGCGAATTCATTCAGATTCGTGTGCGATGTACATTGCCACCCCCGTTCCAGGGTGTGTGATGCCGTCCTGGTAAACGGAGGCTATTTCGCACCACGAAGTAACCAGCTTGTACGTCGCCCATCACGTTTGCACGTCGCAACCCACTTCGCGGTCCTTGTGGACCGACCACACCAAACCCGAAACGCGTGCTCGACTGCCCCAGATTGGCCAAGTTTCCCGAGAGGAGTTGAGCGACATCAGCAGCACGGATGTTTTCCCCAGCCGGAAGGGTCGGCTCGGCTCGCCGTCACTGCCAAACCATCAGTCAGCCATCAACGTAAAAGGGGGTTATCATGTACTGGTCAGCGCACCAATAACGAGTCCAAATATGGGAACCAGAAAACATTACAAGGACTGGGGCTTAGAGGGAAATCCATGAACCAATAATCTAAATTTTGATGTTGTGCCATTGGTATTGGTTCAAATCAATAAATAAATTACTCCTTTAAATGATTATGCCCACACTTTATTCTAACTGAATCTGCAGAACGGGTTATACGTAATAGCCGATAAATATGTAATTTATGTGGAGGTTTTACTACGGTATATGATTTATTCTTACGTCTATGCATCATTCGTATATCATGGTGGAGCTTTATCATTTATTTGTTGTCACAATCGACTAATTAGGGTACATTCCTGCGGGGACACTTGTGTCTCAAAGCCTTTGTGACACGTAAAAACAACATATAACGTACAATGTCTCAAACGCGAATCGCCCTAGTGCGATTGTTACTGTATTTTTCATTGGTCAGCGTGAAATGCGCTGACGTCGCTGACGAATTGTAAACCGACTCGTCATTGTTTAAAAAACGCACGCGGTTCGAAATGTCAATGCACCTGGTCTGCCTGCAATGCCAATTTCGCGCGGAGAAAAATCCCGCGCGTCGAAACCATACCCCAGCCATGCGGTGGAAGACACGAGTGTACAGTAAATTCTGTCACCCAATCAAACGCTCCCAACTGTGTTGTTCGCCTGGTCGCCTAGTTTCGCGATACATTCATTCTTTGTGACGCGAGATTGACAAAATGTTTCGACGCGACTCGGGAAAAGGGGGATTGAGACACAAGTGTCCCCGCAGGAATGTACCCTTAATAAATGATTTTGACGTCTTGTAGTTCCTAGAACACATGTTGGCCATGTTCGACAGGCACGCCCAGTTCGACAAGCAGACAAACACGAAATCCTCAAGGCGGTTCCAAATCGGTCAGCCCAGAAAACGATGTCGAACCTGATGAACAACCACCTCCCCCCCCCCCCAACCCCCCTCTCCCCCCCTAACCACCCTTCATGCTGTCAAAGTAGCTAGTCAAGCTTAGGACCCATGGCTAGGATTGAGGGTACTAGCATGAGTATCGAGAGAGTTTAGCAAAGGAGAAAGGTGATTTCACTATAGCAAAATAGGAACATATAAGGGAAAGGAGGGGAGGTGCACCACCAAAACAAGAAGCATATAGCTACACTAGGATCTACTGTAGGCAGGTGTATAAATGTATACAAATACATTTCAACACACCCCCTAGCTGCCTACAGTGAGAACCATGTGCAACAGCACCCCCTGAAGGGGTACACCAGGCGCAGCGGAGGAAGGAGAGGGCAAGTGACGAGGAGGAGGAACCATGAGAGGAGAGGAGGTGGTGGATGGCGGCTGAAGCTGCTGGCACACGGGCAACTGGAGCAACTGGCACACTGGCAACTGGAGCAACTGGCACACGGGCAACTAGAGTAACTGGCTCCGCGGCTAGACGAGCGGCTGGAGCAACTGACTCACGGGCGACAGGAGCAACGGGCTCACGGGCGACTGGCGCAACGGTCTCACGAGCGACTGGAGCTGCTGGCTTCACGGCGTCCACCCCCCTTCAACCTCCCCCACTTTCCCAAAACTCCCATTCACACCCCTCGGCATCCCTACCCCCACTCCCTCGTCTCCCCCACACCCTCCCCCCCCCCACAGCGGCATGTGCAGTAGTGGGAGAGAGAGGAGGAGAGGCGGCAGCTGATTACTCACACCCGCCACCCCCATACCCTCCCCCCCACTGCTGCATGCGCAGCAGGGGGATGGAGGAGAAGGGGGGGCGGGGTAGGAGCTGCGCGGCGACAGCAGGGCGCGCGGGCGGGCAGAAACCGTCGCGCGTCCAAGGCGCGCGACGGGCAGAAACCGTCGCGCGCACGGGGCGCGCGACGGGCAGGAAACCGTCGCGCGCCCGGGGCGCGCGACGGGCAGAAAACCGTCGTGCGCCCGGGGCGCGCGACGGGCACAAAATCGACGCACGCCCGGGGCGCGCGACGGGCTGAAAATCGACGCATGCCCGGGGCGCGCGACGGGCAGAAAACCGACGCGCGCCCGGGGCGCGCGACGGGCAGCAGAGTGGCGCATTAGCGGAAGCGAAGGGTGGGCCCAATGAGGCAGGTCCTAGGAGGAACCTGGCTCTGATAGCATGTCAAAATCCTAAGCGAGGATGAATCGACTAGCAGCAAGATGGGTACAAGTAATAACCCGAATTGGGTTGCACCCCATATGGGCTACCCCACTACAGCCTACACAACATATAAGTTTGACACACCCCCATAGGCAAAGTGGGGGAGAACAAGAGGTCACAATACCAGTCAAGAAAAGCAAAGCAAGCTCAGGGTGGATCACGAAGTCACCACACACTCTGAGCACAAGCAAATGGCCACAAGGAGTTCACATGCAGAGTTATATAATGCAGAACAAGCAGTACAGTGATCAAAACCTAGCAAGTGTAAGCATGCAGGTATAAGTATATAGATCACAGTACAAGCAAAGTCAAGAAGTGAGCAAGTGAGGCCAAGTAGGCACAAGGCCTAGAACAGTACAGAAACGCTGATGATCACAAGGCTGAAGTGCCTTGGTGAAGATATCAGCAGTGTTGGCCCGAGAGGCCACGTAAACAAGACGAAGCTGACCACGCTGCTGCAGCTCTCGAGCAAGGAAGTAACGCAGAGCGATGTGCTTTGTCCTGTGCTCCAGTCTGTGCTCCTGACACAAGGCAATCATGGCCTTGTTGTCGACGTACAGAACAGGAGGAGAACGAGGCGGCTCTCCCAAGTCGGTCAGCAGGTAGGTGAGTCAGCGTAACTCCTGTGCAGCCATGGCCCCTGCGTAGATCTCAGCCTCACAACTGGAGCTGAGAACAGAAGACGAGCGGGTAGACCGCCAAGAAACAGAGTCGGAGCCAAGGCTGAAAGTGTAACCCTGTGACGACCGCTGCGTAGCCAAGTCGTCAACCCAAGAGGCGTCTGCGTGTCCAGTGAGGACAACTGGACCCCGTCCTCCAAGCACGAGCCCCATGCCCGACGTACTGCACAAGTAGCGCATCACCCTCTTAGCGGCCTTCCAGTGCTCTGGTAGGTGTCTCCCCGGCGCAACGTAGCGTGCCAGGATGCTAAGAGGGTAAGCAAGGTCAGGTCGAGTGCAGGTCATCAGGTACACGAGGCAGCCCACAAGCTCTGGATACGGGCCACTCGGCTCTACGGACTCGTCCGAAGGTGGAGCTGAGAGCGAGTGACCGCTAGGCAGAGGAGTGGACTGTGGCGAGGAGTACTGGAAGTCGAAGTGCTGAAGGACCTGCTGCACCATGTGTGACTGAGTCAAGGTAGTGGTGCGCCGTGCTCTGTCCCGGGTGATCTGCACAAGATAGCTGCGCAGCTCACCCAGGTCTGTGCACGTGTGTCTCTTCTGCAGCTCCGACTTCACTAGGGCCAGTCCCTCAGTGTCAGTAGTGGCAAAGACCAAGTCGTCGACGTACACGAGGATGTAGAACGGCGGCAGCGAAGTGTCGGTGCGTAGAAACAGCGACGGGTCAGCAGTCGAAGGAGCAAACCCAAGAGCCGCAAGAGTCGTCCTCAGTGTGTCGTGCCACTCGCGAGGCGCCTGGCGGAGACCGTAGACTGGCCGCCGGAGGCTCCACTGGGTACCTGCAGGAAACGACCCAGTGAAGCCAGGTGGGCGGCGCAGCCAGATCTCCTCGTGCAGGCTGCCCTGTAAGAAAGCTGTGCTGAAGTCAAGAGAGTGAAGCTCGTAGTCACGCTGAGCGGCGGCGTGCAGCAGTACCCGAAGAGTGGTCATCTTCGGGGTAGGGGAGAAGGTATGGAAGAAGTCAACTCCCTGTCGCTAACTGAAGCCTCGTGCGACGTAACGCGCCTTGAAGACAGGCGGAGAACCCTGCGGCCGCTTCACCCTGAAAATCCACATGCCACTGACG